AGTCATGAGAGATTTGAAAACAGAAAACACATTTTAATCCTTTTAATGATGAGAAAGGAATATGGACATTTCAAGGACAACTTTTAATTCTGTTTCATGGAAAGTTGCATACTTTTTTGTGGTTTATTTTAAAAGCTGTCATAGTGTAATATAATTTCAAGAAAAAGTTTAATTTTGGGGTCTGCTTTTTCAAAGAAAGACACGGCCAGGCCATGATCTGCTATTCTTGAATCTCAAGTCCCTACAGTGGCCCTTTTAACTGATAGGATGTCTTATCTTTCACTGCCTGTTTTGTATTCCCTTCTTTCTTGCTGTCTCAGGAATCAATTAAAAAATATATGCTTAAAACATTCTGCTGGATTTGGCTTTTTGGAGTTTTCCTCTCTCTCTTTTTTCTTTCAACATTCATGGTTTGCTCTATCATATCCTTCTGTTCCAAGTTTGTGTAATTTCTGAATACGTCCAGAATACACACACTTTTGACCTTTTTTTTTGTTTGACATCACCACACCTTTGAAAAATGTCCAAGTTCTCCATTGGAAAGCCACTGCTACCATGTTATCTGCACAGATAATGTGCAGAGGGATGGAGACAGTTGTCAAAGCCATCTGTGTCCTGAGAGGACAGTAGTTAAGAAAGGTTGACATCATTAAACATCTCTTAGTGTATTTCAGGGAATTGTATTTCAGGTGAAAGCCCGGATGGTCTGGGAACAAGCTCGATTGTGATAATTAGTAGATGCTGTCTTTTAGGGTACAGCACCAGCTAACAGAGGTTCTGTACCCAAACGGGAGAAGTGGTACCAGAAGCAAAGCTAGTTTTGGGGTAGGTGCGTGTTTACATGCTAGTGGCCATGGCTATGGTGCTAGCGTCAGAGTCTGTGAAGCAAAGATTACAGTTGGGGAATGTACAACAAGCTGCTTGCTCTGTGTTTTGCAGTCTTCAAAAATAGAATAAAAACACAGAAAAGTACATGTTTAATGTTTTGGCTTTCTCATCTTTATAAGTGGATAACCTTCAACACTCAATCATATCCCCATGCCACTAGAATGAATGTCCACTTGTTCGACTTACTAATTTTCCAAATTTGAACAGAGTTTTGCTTTTCAGAGAACTTTTTATGTAACAGTGTAACTGCCTGCTAAAAGTTTTCCATATCCCCAAAGGGACATTCTTTAGCAGTGTGACTGAGGTGTTCCCAGCTTGGTATTGAGTGAAAAAGGTTCAGTCCTGCTAAGTGCTCTATATCTTCCATTTTTTGTGTAGTACAGGGAAAGCTGAAGGCAAGAGAATAATGTGGTGGCTTTTTTTTTTTCTTTTCTCTATGTAAAGTAAAACAAACTGTCATTACTTCTAAAAAATACTCGAGTATTTTTTAGAAACCTTGCAGTTGTTTATGTGCAGATGAGTGAGTTAGCTGAACGGCAGCACTTAAGAACACAGTTTACTTAAAGTGGGTAAGTAAAGTGCTGGTTCTACAAACAGTTTTCTATGTAAAGCACTGTGTTGTTGTTTTTGGTTTTTTTTTTTTTTTTTTTTTTTTAATTTCCACTTAGCTATATTTTACTGTAAAGTTGATCAACTTGATCTAACAAAGCATCCTAGATTCTAGCTGGAATGCAAGTTATTAACAAACATAAATCAGTTCTTTGGATCCAGGTGCTTTATAGGAGAGTTGTGCTCGCATTAAGTGAAACATCTGTTTGCCAGACTTGGGACCACCTACGGTAACTATCAGCCTGGTTGTGTTATGCTCCTGATAGAGAATCAGTTGTCACCACCCCTGGAGGTATTTAAGAGACGTGCAGATGTGGCACTGAGAGACATGGTTTAGTGGTGGATTTGGCAGTGCTGGGTTAATGGTTGGACTCTATGATCTTAAAGGTCTTTCTCAAACTGAATGATTCTGTCTCGACAAACCTTGAAAATTCAGCCTATGAACTTCCAGTTACTTTTGTTATTGAAAAGAGCCCTACCTGAGAGGAAATAAACCCTGAAATTAAATATTATGTTATTATATTATTTCATGTAATCCTAGAAATATTCAGGTTAGAAGGGATCTGTGGATGTTATATAGGACAATATCCTGCTCAGAGCAGGGCTACTCTTAAATTCGGGTAGTTTGAGGCTTTGTCTACTCAGGTGTCACAAACCTCTATGCAAGGAGATTCCACAGCCTCTCTGGACTTGACTATCCCCCTTTTGTCTTTCTATGAGTACAAATTCTGGCTCTGTTTTCCCAGCAAGTTATTTTTCAGTGCTAGGAAGCTGCTCCTTCTTCCAGCTAAAGAAGCCCTGGGGCTCACAGCCTCTCTCACATGGCAAGTGCTCTAGCAAATGACCATCTTAGTGCTCTCAGCAGAATTCATTCCACTTTATTAGTAATTTTCCATATCAGGACTGTTCTTCTGGAGATCCCCAAACTGGGCATTGTATTCCACGTGCAGGTAAATGTAAAGGGAAATAATAACTTCCCAATCCCTTCCTGATAATCAGTTTTCTGTGTTCACAGGATCACATAAAGGGTCAGGTTGGAAGGGACCACAGTGGGTCATCTGGTTCAACCTCCCTGCTAATGGAGGGTTCCCTAGAGCATGTTATTCAGGGTTGTGTCCAGACAACTCCTGAATAACTCCAGGGAAGGAAACTCCACAACTTCTCTGGGCAACCTGTTCCAGTGCTCAGTCACCCTCACAGTAAAGAATTACTTCCTCATGTTCAGGTGGAATTCCTGTGTTGCGGTTTCTGCCCATTGCCCCTTGTCCTATTGCTGCTCTGCACCACCAAGAAGAGCCTGGCCTCATCCTCTTGATCATTACATTTATTGATAAGATCTCCTCTCAGTCTTCTCTTCTCCAGATTAATGGCTGCCAGGGTGCACTCCTGGTCCTGTTTACTGCCACCAGGATCCCTCAGCCTTTCCAGAAGAAACAATCAGCAAAGCCCCCAGTCAGTATTGTCCCAGAGGGCTGGTCACTGGGTCACATACAGGACTTTGCATTTGTCCTCATTAAACTTCATGAGGTTCCTGATGTCCCATTCCTCCATCCTGTCCACATTCCTCTCAGGCCCATCAACTTCATGTCACCACTTTGGTGTCACCTAGACAGACAAAGATACAGTATAAAAACACTGATTATGAAGCCCTGCCTTGATAATATAAAATAATAAGATACAATAAAGTTTCTTTCTAAAGAACTTAAAAGACTGAACAATCAAATTAAATCCAGGTTCTCAGATTCTCTTTTATTACAAAACCTAGTAATCGCCTGAAGTTTGCTGCCCTCCATAGGCTACTCTTATTACAGTTGTGAAGAGAGTATTTTCCTGTGGAAAGCATTACCACAGTGCAATAACATTCCTAGAAAGAGCCACTCTTGGTTTGTTTTATTAACAACACAGCATAAAATGAACAAATACTTTACTTAGTTATAGTGTGCTGTTGTGAAACATCACTAAGAACAGGACATGAACACCAAATTCTGCACTGGAAAATAGACTAATTCAGTGTAAGGTTTCTGTACAAAAATATGGGTTCATTCACCCATCTAAATAATAAATTTCTTGTTGGTGAGCAGTCCATATGTGGGCTTGATACCAGAGAATATGTTGAGTTTGACAGTGGAACAATGATTACAAAAAGCAAACTGCAGGACAAAAGGATTTCAAAACCAGGATCAAAAACAAGTGTGGGAAGAAACTGAATTTTCAAGGGATGATCCAGGCACTACTTTATATATAGACTTGTGTTACAAAAGTAAAATTGATCTTCAAGAAGGACATATTTTAATTGATCCAGCCAAAGAAAATCCTAATAGGATACTAATTATTCATACTGTGGCAAGGAACATGAAAAACAAAGAGGGTACCATTTCCTGAATGCAGTGAGCAGGAAGGAGCAGTCCCTGGTCTGGCCTCATTGTTAAGACTGTGTCCCAGCCATCAATTTGTCTCATGGAAGCCACCTCATAGCGCAACAGGAATGTAAACTAACAGCAAACCCAAATGTAACACTTGTGTAAACTCTTTTTCTCAGCCAGAATAAAATCTTGGGTGTGTAGTGAAAAGTATCTTCCTGGAGAGCGGCTCTGAGCCCTTCCCAGCATCTCATTCGTTACTGAGAGTTTTCCTTTGTATCCAGACCAGTTGCACAGCAAATACCCCAACCCTGTTTCTTTCTGCAAGTTTGAACTGCGGCATGAGCAGCTGGATGTTCTAGGGATGAGGTTCTTTTGCACAGTTAAAGCACCCTTCTGGCAAAATCCTCTCATTTTGCTGATTCACAGAGTTTGTGGAAGATGTGAAACACGCTCCGCTGTCACAGCCTGGCAGCTTCCACCACGTGTTGTGGAAATCTGCAGACGCAGCTCGGAGGAGCAAGTTTGTGGATGCCGTCAATGTGTCCACGATTAGCAGATGCAATATTAGTGAAAGATTCGGCATCCCGTGTGGAAAAAACTTCTGTCTAAAGCTCCGCAAATCGAAATTGCTAAAATCGCGGCTTGAGACGAAGCAGCCTCTGTGACGGGACCAAGCAATCAATTTTTGTGAAAGTTTTAGCGAAAAGGAAGGTAAACAGAAAGGAAGGAAGGAGAGGCAGAGTCACGGAGAACGCAGAGGCGTGCACTTTCCACCAGCAGCAGGCCCGGGAACCGGGATCATCCTCAGTCCCGCTCCTCCCGGGAGTGACTGTCAAGTGCCAGGCGCGCGTGCGCCTGGGGGCGGGGCTCGCGGCAGGGGCCGTCCCCTCCCGTGCCCGGAACCTGCGCCGGCGGCGCCGGGAGTCGCCCGGACCGTGATTGGGACTGGAGTCGCTACCCGGAGCGCAATCGGGGCTGGAGCGCGCTCCGCCGGTCCACTCGAGGGTCGGTATCGTCCCGGCGGAGGCGGCTCCTGCCGCTGCCGGGAGGCGAGGCGAGGGAGCGGAGCCGAGCCGAGCCCGTAGCGGGGTTGAGCCGGTCAACGCCGCCAGCGGCAGCAGGCAGGGACGGGCTTTCGGGTCTCCCAGGCTGCGCTCTCGGCAGGCTCCCCCGAGCCGGGGCGGGCGGCAGGCATGGGCGCTTCCCCGGTTTAGCGCAGCGGGTGACGCGGCCCGCCGCAGGCGGGGCAGGCGGAGCCGCGGGCGTTGCCGGAGGGTGGCGGTGCGGCCGGGTTGGGGTCGGTCCGTGCCGGGCCCGGCCGGGAGCCCCGGGGGCAGTGGGGCGGGAGGGCACGCGCTGCTGAGCCCTGCCGCCATTGGCCGGCGGCCGCGGGCCGGCCCGGTGATTGGGCGGGAGCCCTGTCAGTCACCGTTCTCTCCGCCCCACCCTCCGGCGACGGGCGGGGGCGGCCGGGCCGGGCCGGGTCGGGGTGTCCGGAGCCTGCAGAGACCCGCAGAGCCCCGGCCCTACCGAGGGCACGGCCGGGCACTTGCCCTGCGCAGGGGGCCGCACACCACGGGTCTGGCGCGCTGGCCTCTGCAGGCCCTGCTGCCGGCGTAGGGAGGGGGACCGGGCGGGCGGGCAGTCCGAGGCACCGGGCTTGGGTCGCGCTGGGTGTCCCGCGGGCTGTTTCTTCATTGCTTTCTGACTCTCCGTTTATCTCCTCTCCCTCCTCTCCTTCCCCAGGCTCTATGCGTGGGGTTTTCTGGGTTTGGTTGGTTTTTATTTTTATGTTTTGTTTGGTTTGTTGTTTTTTCTTTTTTTTTTTTTTTTGATTCCCTAAGTCGGTGAGATCATCCTGCCTGGAGTCTGCAGTGTGACAGAAATGCTTAAACAGCCCTCTGGAGCCAGAGGGAAGGTTTTCTCATCTAAACTCCGTAGTCAGTCGCCTTGCAATCAGGTGGTAGTCTTTCAGAAGATGAGTACCTAATTAAACGGGGGGAGTAGTAGTTCATGGAAACGGGTATATATTACATACATAAAAATAATTGTAAACTTCCGAGAATGGGCCAGAGTAACCATGAATTAACTAAAGGACTAAATCTTAGGTTGAAAATTCTAGAAAATGTATACTGTTGGCATGTGGGTCCTGTCTCTGCAAAGGAAGAGTAATCCTGAGTCACAAGTGTGTTTTGATTTCAGTTTAGTTAATACCCTTCAACTTTTCAATACTCTGAAATATTTTAGTGACAAAGTACCTCATTTTTGATGCAGATAATACCCTTCAACTTTCACAACTAAAGCATTTTAAGTGCCAAAGTACTTAGTTTTGATGGCTTTTGATAAATAAGGATAGTAGTTGTCATCCGTGCAGTTATGTTAAACAGATGGGACGACCAAGCACTTCACACTTCTTAACTGTTTCTAAGTGAGTCATTGAAAGAGTGTGATTAATCATCCTACCATACAGTTGTCAACAAAAGAGTAATTTTTTTTGCTACCACCCACAAAATCAAAGAGATTTCCAGATTTTCTGTGGAAAGTAAAGAACGTCTCTTTTGAAAAACACTTTAAATTTAGTTTGAGGGGGACTACATATGATGGACTTGTCATCCTCAGAACACATGTATATATATAATTTTTTTCTGTGCAGCAATACACTGATGTACCCAGGAAATCGCTTGACTTAGTATGGTCATTATTGACATGTTAGTTGTTTTAAAGCTTTCATCTAAATAGCAATCTGACGTGAAACTAAATGAACTTCTTCTGTCCTCTTACCCCTCCCTGCTTCAACTTCGTCAAGTTGTAAGTCATCTAGGACAGAGGCACTTCATTATTTAGTGCGGTATGGATTAGGCGTTACAATAGTCAGATGATGTGTGTCGTCAAGGTAATGATAGTGCTAATGGGGGGGAGGAGATGACGCTTGGGTGGGAATTGCTTTTGTTTTGAAGAACCTGGGGTAGTAAGAGGAAGAGCTGGCTGAGAAATCTGTATTTAGAAGTGTTATTTGAGAAGTGACCTGATTTGAGCATAGCTTTTGTGGGAAATGGAAGTCAGCGGTTAACTACAGATTGTGAGGCTGAGCCAAGAGGGCAACAGTGATTTTACACACACACCTCCTCCCACCAAAATATTATGGGAATGGAAAGTGTCATGAAAAGGAGATGCTCTACTTTAAAAAAAAAATAAATAAATCTGAGTGAGTTAAAGAGCTGGGAGGGAATTTTTAAATGCATCAATATGCATTGTTAGACACAGGAGGAAGATGAGTGGAAAGACTGATTGGGAAGAGGTGTATAGAAGTGCAGTTACCTGGGGCAGGGGCTGGCATGGGGAAGTAAGATGGGCTGGAAAATAATGACACCAAGGATACATCAGAATGGATTTCACAAAGAACGTAAGAAACAAATGTATGCCATCTTCTGCTGTTGGCAAATACATTTTCTGCAGTTTTTTTTGTATCTGTTTGCAGCATTGATAAAGATTTGCTCTTAACTGAATGTGTTTCTAATAGTCAGTTCGTTTTGTGTGTTTGTTTGTTGTCTCATCACCTGTCCTGTGAAGGCTAATTACTGATCAGAAGTGTGCTGAGAATGCTATGTCTGTGTTTGCCTAGTAATTTAAATTTGAAGTGACTCTCATATGTGTGTGAATTGACAAAAAAACCCAACCAAAAGGTATTTAACCACATGCAAGCAGAATGGTGCCCTGTGGTTGGGATTTTTCGGCCTGATGATCTGTTTAGAGAAGTGATCTCTTTTGTCAGGTGTCTGCTTCAGCAGGTGTTATAGATGCTTTTTGTTAAACGAGCTGCATTGAAAGGGTGCTTCTTCTTCTTTCAAATTGAGTGTTGAAGAGCAGGTTTTCTTCAGAAAACAGAAAAACTGGGGAGTAGTCTGAGATGCTGATAGGACTCAACTCTGGGCCATATCAGAGAGAGGTGGTAATGGCACCGAAATGGAAGATTATTCATACCATCTAACAGTGTGGTCCCACTGGCTCAGTGTTTGGAAAGTGATGAGGAACTGTGCATAAAGTACAGCCCTTTTCCTTTTACACCTGTTTTCTGGAGATGGGTATTCCTTTGGTAGCTAATCCTTGGATTAGAAAGTGCAAGAAAAATATACAAATGATGTAAGGATGTTAAAAGAGTCATTCCACCACAAATAAATCCGTAGGCTTTGTGCTATGTGAGGGGTGTTACCGATGGAAATACCCCTTGGAAATCCCTACGGAAATATGTAGTCTGACCTTATTTGTGGTTGTCAGAAGTCTACAATGGGTAATTGCAGTCTGGTAATTAGAGAACTGTATTTTCAATTATATTTCATCTTTTAAAATGCTGCACACTGCTACTGTTGTATTTTACTTGGAAGAAGGGACGTAGATCTTATGTTATTTCTTTAACTTTCCAAAATATCCTTACCAATATTTTTTTTATTTAAAGTTGCTGTACCAATCAATAGTTCCTTTCAGTGAGGAAAGGGAGCTTGAAGCTATTTTTGAGCAAACTACAAGTAAAACATTTGCATAATAAAGTTCTCTGTTGACTTGACAAATGACATGGAACTTGGTTCACCTTAATCATCTTTAGCTATTAATAAACTAATTTCATTTGCAATGAAAAGAGGAAACTCTTTACTGTAAATTAGGTAAATTCTTGCTGTAACTACTGTGCAGTCTGATGTTCTGGTTTTGTTCAGGACAGCTCAGCATTACTGTTATGGATCGCTCTCGACACCGAGCAGGAAATGGCAATGAGCAGGCATCTTCACGAGAGCGCAGTCGTGGTGAAGATGAGAGACAACGACAGCTGGAGCGCCTCGGTAGGGAGGAGGCTTATTACCAGTTCATTAATGAACTCAACGAAGAAGATTACAGGTTGATGAGAGACAGCAACCTGCTTGGCACTCCTGGTAAGATGTGGATACCTTCCACCTTCAGTAGAAAACATGTATCGTGAAGTAACACTCCTGCTGTCAGGCACCAGATGTGGTAGCATGGCTCAAGTAGCCTGACTTCTGTGGCTTTGTGTAAAGGAAAAAACCTCCATATGGAACAAAAGTATAACACTTTCAAATGCAGCATCTTTGTATACAGGTAATATCCAAACCCAAATAATTAACTTTTGGTACATTAAAGTATATCTGTTGATATGTGGCGATTTTGGGGGCCTCTAAGTTGTTACTGGAAGCCAGCATATTCTTGACATACTCATCTTCCACCCAGGACCTACTTCCTCTGCTGTGTGTGTACCTGCATTATAATCTTTCACTGGTGCTCTTTTCTTTCTGGTTTCAACAGTTTTATCTGCCTTCTGAAAATTTTCATTCAGCCTAGAAAAGGTTACTTCTCCATGGCTATGTTGAAGCAGTTACTGAGTCTTATCTAACAGCAGTATCAAAATGTAAATTATTTCAGGGGAAATAACAGCAGAAGAGTTGCAGCAACGCTTGGAGGGGGCTAAGGAGCGTCTGGCATCACAGTCTGATCTGGATAACAGAGAAGGTGAAGGTAGAGCTGTTGGAGGTAAACATTCTTCATTCATATATATAGATACACATGGTACATGATGCATAAATGGTGTTCTGTACAGATATTTGAGACTTATCTCAAGTCTTGTTTTATTCCATTGCACCTCTCTGGATTGTTAAAAAGTAAGATCTTGAGATTTTTCTAATAATATGAAAACAAACTTGAAGCACTCGATGAAAACTGATTTATGTTGACCACAAATTATTTGCTCCTATTTTCCTTTGTTAGTAAATGTAATAGCACAAAAAATTAATTCTTCAATTCTTAGAGGTTTTTACCATGTATTAGAGCAGTTGGAAAATAAGTGAATTGGAGAACAGTTAACCTCTCCACTGTTTTGCCATTTTTGTTGTTTTATTTCCATTTCTTTCGTTCAAGTGAGGCTTGTTGACATTATGTGTATTATCTATCTTCAGTTCCCCAGTAATATTGGCTTAATCATTTGTCCAGTTCTAATCAGATTTAGGAGAGGAACTGGCAGCTCAGAAATTAAGATACCAAAGTTCTTGCAGGTTTCATGGACTTAGGGAGATGATGGAGTAGGGGGGAATGTAATTTGATCCCTTCAAGGGAAAACCTTTACTGTCATTGTGAGCATTGGCCTGCTTTATACACATAGTTAGCACTAACCAGTTGGGCTTGGAGTTGGAGGAGATTTGAAAAGGGAACTGGTGGATACTGTAGTAGGGAAACAGTATATTTGCACAAGAGGACAAAAGTCTGTTGAAACCATGCATCCCACCTGGATGCATTCTTGTGTCACCTGCTCTAAGTTGTGCGAACAAGTTAAGCCAGCAGCACTTGCATTCAGTTAGTTAGAATCAAAATGGAGTGTTTCAGACTTGGAGCTGAGCAGGAGTGTGTGAATCAAAACACTGAGTTTGCAAAAAGTCCTGGGAATTCTAGTTAACTGAATGACAACACCAGGTGCTGTTTCCCGAAAGAACACTAATAAAAGGGGAATGCAGAGAGAATAGAGAGAATTCTGTGGAGAATCTCAAAACTGAATCATGCTATGTGTGCAGCCTCGTTTCTTCAGTGCCCATGTTTGCCATACTAAGTGACCCTGCCTTGGCAGGACAGTTGGACTAGGTGATCTCCAGAGGTCCCTTCCAACCTTTGTGATTCTGTGATCATTGATTCCACTGATTAGGGAAAACAACTTTTAAAAATGTTTTCCAAAAGGAGAGAAAATCTGTTATGCTTTTTCTTGCTGAATCAAAATGAGCTGACTAGGATAGCCCCAAATTGATAATTTAAGGAAGAAACAGATACTGGACAAATACCACTAACTTTAGACCACCTGAATATGAACACTTGCTCAAAAGAGGCCATCTGGGCATATTCATTTGTGTGTCTGCTGGTGCAACAAAAATTCTAGGTTGAACTGGTGAGTCTTGCTGGTGTTTTTACATACAGCATATTTTCATATCTTAGACATAGCAAGAGAATGTCCTGCTACTGTATAATTTCTGAAGTCAGTGTCTAGCAAGCATAGAGGATTTAGAATGCATCAGAGTATGCTGAGCATGCAGTCATGCAAATTTTTGCAATTCTTTGTTTCTCTCAGATTCTGATGTCCTTGGAGAAAACTCAAATGGTGACTCTTTGTTCGAATGGCTTAATACATTTCGTCGCACAGGAAATGCCACTCGCAGTGGACAGAGTGGGAACCAAACCTGGAGAGCCGTGAGTCGAACAAATCCAAACAGTGGGGAGTTTCGTTTTAGTCTTGAAATCAATATAAATCACGATCATAACAGTTTTGAAACTGCTGGTGAGGAGTATGTCGATATAGATGCTACCAGACTGTATTTGGAAAGAAGACGTCAACTAGTTGCCGGTTCAGCAACCCCACGAACACGGAGCATGGCTGCGAGGGAGGCAAGCAATGAAGCTGCAAGGACCAGGTTTTTAGGACATGCCATGGCACTAAGGTCTGAGGTAGCCTCTCATGCAGTCTCGGGGAGGCTCAGGAGTAGAACAAGGGAGTTGACAGGCCTTTCCCAAACAAATAATACTACACGTACTAATTCTGCAGCTGCTGGTGAAAGAAGAGAAATGCTGGGAAGACTTAATTCTACAAGAGTCAGAAGAGGTAGAGCGAGAACAAATGTTCAGATGAATACAAACCAAAGACTAGAAATTCTGCGGCTGAGGTCTACCTTAAGTAGTCGAAGCCGCTCTCCGTTGCAAAGGCAAGGTGATGCTGTTCGCTCTGAGGAACGTGGTCAGAGGCAGGATAGAAATGCACAGCAGGTCAACAGAAGTAGAAGACAAATAGCTCAGGCTTCTCCACAGCCTGCTGAAGAGCAAGCAAGAGGCAACACTCAGGCTCCTCAACTTCCCAGTGTAGCTCCATCCTTGGGAATAACTTTGGAAGAGGAGGAATCTAGTAGACCAGTAGCTGCTGTCAGAAGGCATCCAACAATTACACTAGATCTCCAGGTGAGAAGAATTCGTCCTGGAGAAAACAGAGACCGGGACAGTATTGCCAGTAGAACTCGTTCTAGAGTAGGAATGTCAGAAAACACGGTCACCTTCGAGAGTGACAGTGGGGGATTTCGGCATACGATATCGCGATCAGAACGTGCGGGTATTCGAACCTATGTCAGCACTATACGGGTACCTCTCCGTCGTATTTCGGAAGCTGGGCTTGGCGAACCTTCATCAGTGGCTCTTCGATCGATCCTCAGACAAATTATGACAGGCTTTGGAGAACTGAGCTCTTTAATGGAAACTGAATCCAACTCAGAAGTGCAGAGAGGTGGCCATCCCTTATTAGATGCACAGAATAACTCAACTTCAGCAAACAGTGGTGATCCAAGTGAGGTTTCATCTAGAAATGGACGCGCAGCAGAAGGCAGCAGGGAAAGAAATGGACGGAGGAATGATAGTCAACGCTATGGGCGCCGTAATGAGAACCAAGATAACGGACAGTCTCAAGATGTGAACAACTTAGTGGAAAATGGAACACTGCCCATACTTCGACTTGCCCACTTCTTCTTGCTGAATGAAGATGATGATGATGATCGTTTAAGAGGTTTAACCAAAGAGCAGATTGACAATCTTGCTACTCGGAACTATGGGGATATTCACGCTGAAAGCGAAAGAAGTAAAACGTGTAGTGTTTGCATTAATGAATATGCAACAGGGAATAAACTAAGGCAGTTACCTTGTATGCATGAGTTTCATATTCATTGTATTGATCGCTGGCTTTCTGAAAATTCTACTTGCCCAATTTGTCGGCAGCCTGTTTTGGGGTCTAATGCCACAGACAATGGCTAGAATCATTTGTACTGCTCAGTTCTCAAGAATTTGCTTCTGCTTTATTTCTAATGAGCCAGATGAATTGACCTTCAAAGGGGTCCATTTGTGGGGGGAGTTTTGTTAAATTTCTTTAAAAATTGTAGGAAACTTGTCTAAATCTAGCAATGTAAATACTATTTTTTCCAAATGCAGGTCTAGGGATACACATAGAACCAAATGATATTGGTAAAGTTTATATTTTTTTAGGTAATTTTGTTATGCTAAGCACTTTTGTAAATACAGAAATGCAATAGTTAATCAGTCCTGCTTAATGTATGTTTTTTAACATTGTAATGAACTCACTTTATTTAGATTACAAATTGTTTCACACAGACCCACCACTGTGTTGAAAAATTAGTGGCTAAATAGCCATTTGTTAGCTTTTTGTTCTAAGAACAATTTCATTTACAGGAAGTTTCTTGCTGGACATGTTTGCTAAAGATATTTAAGTTACTTGAAGTGCTTATTTTATTAGACCTTTTTTTTTTAACGTTGAAATATCCTTTCCAAAAACTTGCCAATTTGGTTCTATTAAAAAAAAATTCTATTGCAATTTCTGCATGTAGGTTTACACAGTTCTTAATGCTGACATTCAAAAGTTGATGGGTTAGGGGCATTATGAAATGTACATATTTAAATGCTGTCCTTGACAATCTGTCTTTTCAATAATGACAGCAGTCAAATCTGGTAATTCCAAGAGGCCGTGTCTTATTTATTTGCTCAAAGAGTAAATGAGCACCGAGGAAGCCTTTCTACTCTTCTAAATTACTGAATTGTTATTCTTGGGGTTTTAACTGCCTTAGTTTAAAGAGGGACAATATTTCCTTGACTATTATATTGTCTACAATATGCATGTTTTGAGTATTGTACTCAGAAGAACAAAACAAAGACTTGAAGTGCTTTTGTACAGAAATTAAAGGTACACATGTAATATTTGTCCTCTTGAAACATGCCTGAGGACTAAATGGCAAAAGACACTAAAGAGTACAAAATAAGCTTTCCCAAAAGTCCCCTGTACCTGTATAATTAGATACTAAATTTTATACCAATAACTTCTGCTGAAATAAAGTTGTGAAGTAAATAATAGAGGCTTTGTGTGAATTACTGTAGATTGGTAAGATCATATAGATTGCTAAGATGATTTCTTATTCTTGACATTAAGTCTGTTTTCACTTTATTCTTTCCTTGGTATTCCTCAGCTCTGTTCCTGTGTTTCCAGAATGCCTGTTAGCTGTTACGGTGCATAAAAAACCTAGCGCAAAGCACTCCTGGGGTTTCTGGAAGAAGCTGAATGTTACAAAGCTTCTTCTGAGCAATGTGCATCTTGATCACTAGAGAAAGGCAGAACCGTGCAGTATTCTGGTGTGGGTGTTTGTGTATTCTGAATGGTAAGAAGAATACTAAAAGTGAACAAGTCCTACTGACTTCTGCAGATGGTGGCCTTGACAAATGTGTTTCTGTGTCAGATGCTTCAGTTAAAGCATCTGCTCATGACATCCTTGAAGGGTGGCTGTAAAATCCTGTGTTGAGCTATTGGATGTCTACTTTGGTTTGGCAAATGAAAAACTTGTGTTATAAGTTCCAGAGAGGGTTTTGGTTTTATTCACGAGTAGTTCTAAGAAACTCTCTTTTGAGATTTAGATAAGTTTAAGGATTCGATTAAGATCTCTTCTGATGTGATTTGGGCTGTTAATTACTGCAAACACTGTTGACCCTTCCTTGAGTGTGACTGCCTTAGCTGCAGTATAGAGTGAGGAGATGTAAATGGGATTATCAGAGCTAGGTTATTTTTTTACTTCTTTTTTGTTACTTCTATTAGCTCCAGATGTTGACAGTATATAAAGATATGGATGCCTTTTACTGCTTCCTTATGGCTTTCCTTTATATTTTTGAATGCTGCCTGATTCGAGGGACACTTTTGTAGAAGCCTGCTTTTGGCTCACCGTTGCCTTGCTGGTCGGGTCCTTCAAGGTCAATTTTAATTTTAATCCTTACAACTGCTTCACTAATGCTCTAGAGATAAAGGGGGATTTCCTGTGCCTTCTTTCACTCAGGGAGGATTTTGCTGTGTAATTGCAAGCACAATTGCATACATGGTTCAAGACAAGATCCTCTACGGCAGGGTACGTTTAACCTGTTGGAGGGGAAACATCTGAAAGTGAGAGCTTTCTCTAGAAACTGTAGGCTATGGGAGAAGAAATATGAAGACTCCCATACTATATTCTTGTCCCACCCCATTTGAGTTGGTTGTCAGGTATTTTCCCCTCCCTTGGAGGAGCATATAATATGTTCCTCCACTTTCCTGGTAAATTGTTTTGATGGGACCAATTAAATCTTAGTGATTCAGTTTGGTATTACCTTCTTTTACCTGCTTTCCTGGTGATACAGCTTCAGTTCTATACCACCACAACCCCACAAATGCTCCTTTGCCTTCCCTATGACGTGGGGGTTTCATGTTCCTACAGTCATACCTGTGTTTCAGAGCTTTGTTAGTTTATTCTGCATGCATTTCGTAGCTCTCCTCCAACCCATCTGCACTTTTGATCTCTGCAGCTGTCCACTGCAGAGTTACAGTTTGGCTTTTGTGAGAAGTACTTGTTTTATACTTTAAGCTTTTTAGTATCTTACACTCCCTTGTACTTTAGGAAGCAATGTCATCATAACACCTCTCCGTTCACCTCTCCAAGTCACTTGCTAGTGACTTAGCCCATACTCTTCCGTTCTTTCTTTACTTTTTTTTAATAACTGAGGTGTCCTATTTAACCTCTTTTTATATCGGAACTGGAGCCCCTGGTGGTCTAGGGGGTAAAGGCGCCGCGCTGTCACCGCGCTGTCACCGCGGAGACCCGGGTTCGATTCCCGGTCAGGGCCACTCCCGGGCAGGTGGGGCTCGTAAGCCCTTAAAGGCAACCCACCTACGTCCTAAGGACCTCGCTGCCACCGTCCAAGCTCGCTTGGCCCCGGCAGATGAACCTTAGGATTAAAGGGTGGGCTCAGTTCCGCGCACACTGTGTCTCACCTAAAAAAATCCAATGCGCAGGCTGGAAGGTGGAAAGACCTTCCCCGGATCTTCGCTCGTGAAGACTGGCCATTATTATTATTATTATTATTATTATTATATCGGAACTATTCTTATATAACTAGTCTTGTTGCTTTTTTGAAATGGGAGGAATGGTGCTCATGCAGAATTCAAAACATGGATGCACTAGGTATTATATTGTGATATAACAACTTTTTTTTCCCTTTTGTGACCTTCCAAATAATTCCTATTATTCTGAATTTACTTTTGTTTGCTGCTCAGCACTGAGCTGATACCTTAACAAGTCATGCAGAAGATTTCACAATCACTGTTGTGAATGTCAGTTGCTGATTTAGAATGGACTATCTATCGCATGCTTTTGTGTGTGTGTGTACTTCTCTGTGTGTGTGTGCTTTGCATATTTCCTTTTCTCTCGGTTTATTTTGTATGTTGCGCAAATCAAATTTCCTCTGTCCTTTCATCATCCTGGCCACCTTTCCTCCTGGGATTTGTCCTAGCATTTAATATCCCAGTAATTCTGTAGCACTTGAGGATTTGATCACCGATTTCTTTTTTCTGATCACTTACGAGTATGTCACATAGCACAGGTATTTCAGTAGCAACATCTTCTAAATTGAGGTTTAACTGTTTATTTCTAGATACTTAATCAGCAGATTTGTGTGACCTTTTTAATAAAAAGGGACTAGGGGTAAATAAATATATGAAGAATTTCAGAAAATAAATACGTTAATTATCCTTAAGCTGATATTGTTGGGAATAACTTGAAATCTAAGTAAAGCACTGACAGAATGACGCTTGTTTGTTAATTATTAAATTCTCTTAGTTGTCCCTGAATTGCATATGATTAGGTGAGCTAATAATGTGTTTTACTCTTCTTTGTATAAAAGGGCTGAGGAGAGAAGTTAATAGTTGCTTACTCTTCATGTATGCCCAGTAAAGGTGCCATAGCCTTTATCTGTATCCTCCTTCGCAGGGCAGCTTTGTTAGGTTACTACTTGTCATTAAAAGAAAATCTCTGGTAAGTAAATTAGCGCAATGATAAGACACTTGGTCTACCCAGAAAAATAGAAATAAAATTAGAAAGGCATCAGCATTCATCATCACGTATTTGTGCATCACATTCATCATCAAGAGCAAGATGGAGTTTGTGTTGTAGTTTATCCCTGGAATAACCTGCAGTCAGGCACTAAAGCAAGTGTGTAGGAATAACGTTGAGATCACTCACTTAGCTATTAGTAACTTCATTTTTGCAATATCGGTCAATCAAGTTTAAACAGTTAACATTTCAGGGTAGGTTTGTTTTTAAAGTGCTTCTGTAAACAAATGTGTTAAAGGTACAAATATCTGGAAAATTGATTAAATACATAAATTTTTGATTCCTATTTGTTACTTAGAATAAAGATCAGCATTTCCTGTACTATCCAAGATAGACTTTTGAAAATTTTGGCTCTCGACATGCTATTGACGTTCAGAGATTTCAATATTTGTAGCTGAGTTTTATTTATTCCTTTTCCACAAAAAGAAATACTGAAGCCTAGTGTTCAAATTCTGGAATGCCACAGGTATATGTTCTTTTTTTCTCTTCCTTTCCCTTGTAAATCTTCATTTTCTCTCTCATTAAGATGCAAATGATCCAATAATCCACTGTGTTCCTTCCTCTTGAAATTTCAGCATAATCTACGTTTTCTCATGGATATTTTACATTTACTTCACTTATACCTCCCAGTTTGAAGTTTTCTCCTAGTGAAATTCTCGGCTTGTTCTAAAATCTCCCATTATCATGTTTTTCTAACCCTTTCCAAAGTAACTTGGGAAGTTGAGTATGACAAAACTGGGATATGGGAGAATGAAGGTTGTCTATGGCACCTGAAGTCAGCTTTTTAGTGCTTCTCTTCCCCTGCAAATTTGGCTTCTCATAGCACCAAGTAACTCAGGTTCACTTACTGACCTGCTAGGAAATCTTTCCTTACCTTTTATTATATGCCTTGGAGTCTTTTCTCTATGCTTCTGAATTGCTGTCTTTAACAAATGTATCTTCTTTGTGAGTTACTTCACGGATGTTGATTTTTTTGTGGCAGTTAGTTGTTCATTAGTACTTTTGTGAGAGAAATACCTGCTTTGACCTTCAAAATTTTACTTCTCATCTGTCTTTTTTTTTTTTTTTAATTAAACAAGCATTTATTTCTCCATCTGGCTGTCTTGTATGCAGGTATTTAATAGAGTATAGCTTACATAAATTATGAAAGAAAGCTAAAAATAAGGAAATCTTACAGATGAACAGCATGATATCCTCCAGCTAAAGGAAATATCCTGGTCAGCTCCTGCTCCAGGGTGCACAGCTATTGGTACTGGCATTAGGCTGGCTGTTGCTCTGGAAGAAGTGACATGTTGGTAACATTGAGAAAAGTGACTTATTTTTAGGGAAGTAAATAGCAGAATGTGGGCAGAAGTTTTAAAAATAACAGTTTATTTTAAATGAAATATTTAACTCAGTTCAACTGGTAGCACTAACCCAGAGCCTCTAGAAAGCCTTAATGTGAAAAGTGACCTAGAGAGCTGCCTTGGACAGGGCGCTGGCAAAGATATAAAGAAATACTAGGCTGAGTTAATAGGTTTTTCCATTTTTGCATGTATTATGCTATCAGCAACTTTCTAGCTGGTATTATGGCCCTGTATGTCTCTCTAATAGTATCTTCTTTAATAATATATGACATAGAAATGGATTCCTGTGTTGCCAAATAACTGCAAACTGAGCAGAAGTGTTTTAATTTCATTCTGTTCTTTAGACTCTTTCCAACTTCCTTTTGCTTCCCTTCCATATTCATTATGTCTTTTTATACACCTGTAACCATTTTCATTCCTTCATCTTAGGAACAGACTATTTCCACAAAGTACTTTCCTGTGGCACTACTGAAAAGTTCATGTGAACCATGACTAGAAAGGGAGAGAGATCTGGGATAATAGGGGCATCACTCTTCCTGGTTTTCAGTCTAACTTTCAGGGTTTATTGAGCACCAAATGTCCCAGAATACCTCCAAAACTAATACAAGGACATTATCCTGTGTTTCAATGGGTCTGTGGCATATTTGTACCATAATAGTGATGTTTGCTTTATACTGCACCATAAACAAGAAAAGCAGGAGCAGAGAACGGAGAAAACCAAGATACACAACACATGTTCACAGTGCTGTGGCCCAAAAGGTTTGTCAGACATTCTAATATGAATTCAACAAAATAATGCAAGAAGTTATGACTTATGCAGAAACATCATCAAGATAGGTTGCATAACCTCTCTTGGTTTGACTCAGTGTCAAGGGGTCATTCTATTCATGTTTTTAGATCTTTAGAAATACAAGGAGGGAATTAGTCACCTAGAGGGGTTGTCATCTGATATACAGCTAAATCATGAGCGTGGCCTTTTCATCTAAAAACAATAGCCAAATGGAAAATGGATGAAATATGATAGTTCGATTGGAATGTGCAGGATAGGTTATCAGGCTGATTTTGGCATCAAGTGTCTTGTTAAGCCCCAGACCTGGTTAAATTATGTTTATTTAAATATGACAATAAGGTCTGGCTTAGATCTGGGATAAATAGAGCTGAATTTGTACAGCCAAGCAGAGGTGCACAGCCTAGTTCTAGTTATAAAAGACTGTTGGTTAATGAGAAAAGTGAATATATCAGTACATAAAGAAAGGATCCAGAGGCATGTGTGAGAGACGACAGTTCTCTGCAGTTATTGACACAACAGTTAGCAAATTCGGAAATATAAAAGGAAACATTAAATTATAGCAAGTTGTGTCCTACCACTTCATGCTTTTGCCTTGATGGGAAATAACTATTCTGCTTTTAAAAGCAGATGCCATTTCCCCATGTCAAGCTCCCACTGAAGTAACTCTGTGCAGTCATGTAGTAACTACCAAGTGACTGATCAGAGCCCAGCCAAGCTGGTGAGGAAACCAATTCCACCAGGCCAACTAGGAATGATGCAGGACAGGACATCCTGCAACCAAGTGAGGAAATGGTGGAACAAGTTGATAACCAGAGTGTGCAGGGCAGTGTGGGCAAGAGAAATCTATTAACAGAAGAAAGTTGAAGCAGGGTCATTCCTGGTGTGTTCACACAAATATAGGCCAGTATGGTGGGGGCAGATGTCTTACTTTCTCTAGGAAATCAGCATCTCAAGTGCCTGTGGACCAGTGCAGACAGCCTGGGGAACAAGCAGGGGGGAATCAGACATTTGTGTGCAGTTACAAGACTATGATCTCACCAGGATCACAGAGATCTGGTGGGATAGCTCACACAACTGGAGTGCTGCACTGGATGGATACAGGCTCTTTAGGAAGGACAGCCCAGGACAGTGATGGGGAAAAGCTGTCCTTTGTGTGTGAGAACAGCAGAATGCATGAGTTCAGTGTCAGGGTGGATGAGGAGCCAGCTGAGAGCCTACAGGTCATGAATGGTGGACAGACCAACATGGTCAATGTAATGGTAACTGTTTGCCCTAGACCACCAGATCAGGAAAAACTACATGGGATCTTCCGACAAACAGTCCAGAAAATTCCTGGATTATCATTTCACAAATGCTAGTAAGTACTCTTGCCAGTCTCCTCATCCCATCAAAATTTAAGGAGTCTTTCAGTATACACCCCTGAAAAGAACCACTAAGTTGATTGAGGATTGGAGGATTTATCAGGTCCTGAAGAGGCTTTGAGGCTTGACTCTCATTTTGAATGCACTGACCATACACATCAGTGCAGTCTGCAGGATTTCAAGGGAGAGAGGGGGCAAATGGCAGTAGGCTCAGGGCTCTTGTTATCCAGTCGTATACTGTGTTTTTAATTGCGGAGCTGTGCATCCCCAGCTTTGATCAGAGCAGCATTCAGAACAAAAGACATGACCGTATTGACAATGCAGCTCTCAGAGATCAGTCTTGAAAATTAAAAATATAATTAGCTCTCCTGAGATGCTGTGCAGCTAATATGATTTCAGCCTGCACACTGAAACCATCAACAACAGGCAAGTACAGCATCCTGCAGACTTCCCTCAGCCTGCTCATGTTTACAGCAGGAGTGGGGTTAGCCCATCTTTCGGATGCACAAGGTATCTCAAGGCAAAATCTCTCCTATTTCCTTTTTTCCCCTGGACTTATACTGAACTTTGACTACTTTGAGCCAAACCTGGAACAGGTTCACCAGATACCAGCTCAGTACAAGTTGCTCCTTGGCATTCACACTTAGTCCAGAAGGTGTTTATCCCACCACTAAATTTATCTGTAGTGCAATGTAAATTGCCTGAAGTGCAAAAAATGAAACATATACACAATAAAACAAAAACAAACATAGCTTTGGTTTTCATCCACAGGTTGAACAGCTATAATAGGATCTGTGGGACCACTTTGTCTCATTATTTTAAGCAATCCTTTCTAAAGGCCTAACTTCAGACATTTATAACCTACACTTGGGGTTCTTGTCCTGAAGTAAAGTGGGTCAGATACAGTATATTGCTTCTATTTCCAAGAAAAGCACTTATATTTTACTTTGAACATTTCCATCTCATCTTTAGTACTAAACCTTCATCTAGGCCAGTTCCTCTGTAATGTGTTTCCTTACACAGCATTGGCTCTGCTGTGCTGAGCATTTGACATACCTTACAGAGCCTGTGAGCTATTTTTGCAGTTCACACACATTTGAGCTGCATTAATAATGGTTCATCCTTTACCTCCAGGCATGCGTGCCCAAGAAAGCATACCGTGTTGCTATTTTAATACAGAGGTCTTGCCCTTATCTGAGTGAGTAATGCATTAATACAGCACTTTGGCTGCTGGTACTATTCCTTTTACTGGTTTTTAGATACGTTTTGCATGCAGTTTATTCCATTTGTTCCATGTTAACAGGGTACATATAAGCGCTGAAAGAACAGGAATTGCCAATATGTGTATGAGCATAGAGTTAGTGTGTAGTTAATCTGCATATATGTAGCAGTTAACTTTAATACACATACAGTGATTTTAAAGAATCATATTATTCCTTTCCCAGCCTAGTAATTTGTCTCTGTACATACACACATACACCAAACTGAATGCTATAGGAAAAAACCATGTATTCATAAGGAAGAAATATAAGCATCATAGTATAATGTTTACACCAGAATTATTGTGTATCTGGATTCAGATCCTTCTGTTGAGCTGTTTCAGCATTGCATAAACGCTACAGTTGGGGGCTATCTCCAGTATTGTGACAGCTGATACCTTTTTCCTGTTTGGACTGTTAAAACTCCATTTTCTTATTTTGTTTTTCTTCACATTTTTTGTTCCATGTGGGATTGACATGAAAACCCAAGTTGGGGGTTATTTCAGCAAAGGGTCTGTAAAATTTAGCACACCCCCCATCCCTCTTTTTTAAGGCACCTCCAAGTCCACAGACTCCAGTTTTTAATTTTTTTTTTCCACTTGGACATGAATCTCAAATGGTGATTCTGGCCTCCCAGATGATTTCAGTCATTATTCCCCTGCTTCCATGCTTGTGAGATGCCCCTGAGAGTAATGCAATTTGAGACCCCAAAAAAGAAAGTACCATGATGAGATTAACTCTCACTTTGATAGTGGTAGAGTTGGGGAAGGCAGAACAATTTGAATGAGCCAGTCTCTTTTGGACAGAAGTATGCTGAGGGCAAAAGCGTGTCCGGAGCCCCAGCGCAGGGTTCCTCGGCAGCCCCTGGCGCATCCCTGTGTGTTGCCTGGATCCGTTGAATTCCCATGAAACTCCCAGCGTCCGCGAGGAAAACGTGTCGCACAGCAGGAGAGGGCGCCAGTCAACAAGGAGCAAGTGCTGGCTCGGCGGTGAGTCCTGGAGCACAGATCTGCCTCCGAAGGGGAAGGTGACCGGCAAGAGGGCACTATATGACGATCCTCCCTCAAGGGGAAGGAAGCACTTTACGTCTGAAAATGCTTGTTGGTCGAAAGGAACGACAGAATTCAGAGGGTCTGCAAACAACCAGAGAGTTTTATTAGTAAATTACAAACTTCGCATGGAAATTGGTATGTTAGTCCCTGACCTACTATATAGGCACATGCCAGTGGGTTTTGGATAAAGCAGTAGGGTGGAAGGGAAAAGAGAAATCAAAGAGGCTAATTAAAAGGGGAGAGATGAATTAAGGAAAGGAGAAGAGAAAAAGAGAGGAAAAGAAAAAGAGAGATAAAAAGGATCACTAGCCCTCACTCCAGTGTTGATCTAGTTGATGAGATGCCAATCCTGGTTTCAGCGCTGACCCAGCTGAGGGGATGCAAATCCTGCTTTCAGTGTTGATTCTGATGCTAAATGGCAGTCCAGCTGATGAGATGTTCAGGTTCTGGGGGCACGCCCCAGGCTGGGGGGGTACCTTTTTATGGACAGCAACCTTTTTATGGTTTCTCACTTTCTATGCTAATTAGTTATCATGCACAGTCCGTTCATTTAGGCCTTTTTGGAAATGGGTCAGAGGGCTTCAGGGGTCTCTGATGGTCCTAATCCCACCTTATAGTCCATGTCCTCTTCCTGCCAATCATTCTGGCACTTGCGTTGTACTGTGTTGTGGTTCTTTCTAATGGAAGAGTGCTGCCTAATATCCACCTGGCTCCCCTTCTCTGGCCACAACTTGTTCTTTCTCCTGGTGTGTTAATATCAGTAGTCCTTGGATATTACCAACAATTCTTGTCTGTTATTACTAACAATCCTTGGTTTGCTCCACAGCCATCTAGTTATCAGTGTTTGAGACATACACATTAGCCCCTTACCTTCTGGTAACTGAGAGCTCGAAAGGATCTCACTTTGGACCACTGTTTATAGGATCATTAGAGAGTGAAATTTAGCCACAGTAAGTTTTCATACTGGCCACAATTTGAGTCAGTATCTTTCCTTGAAGGTTTAGCAACAGAAATATTATTCCACTTGGGTTGTTATTCAGGCAAGAAAAATAAATTTCCAAGGCTGTTCCTTAAAATAGAGGTGCTCATTAGAAAACACTAGTTCCTGGGAACGGGCATTGTTTCTGATAAGCTAAAGAGAGGCTTAGTCGAGGTGCAGTTCGTCATGGCCGGGGCCTAATAAGCATTTCTCAGATCACAGTGTGGCCTGAGGTGGGGGAGACGGTGTGGGGGGGATGCGATTAAAGTCAGCTTCTCGGGACCTCTGGGCACTGGGGAAGCGGCTAGCACCGTGTACCGGGAAGCGAGGGTTGGAGGGAGACACGCTGCTCCTCCCGCCGAGCCCCAGCTGCTTCTAACAGGGAGGAAGGAAAAAAAGGATTTGGGAAAAAACGCTTTCCCTTCGTGCTCTACAGGGCTGGCGCTGCCCTGGGACGGAGCGCAGAGCAGCAGCTCCTTGAACACTGCGCCATCGCCCTTTGTTTCTCAGGGCGTGGAAATAGTAGCGGGACGATCAGATAAATGAATGCTGATTGTGAAACAAAATCAATTAACTCAGGTTTGAACAAACCCGAGAAAAGCCAGCCGCGAAGTGCACTGAGCAGTGTTTTACTCCCGGTGTTGCCGTGGGGAGGCGGCACCTCCAGGCGCGGAGCCCGGCCCCGTTCCCGGCGCCGGGAGCTCTCCGAGGTGCTGCAGCGGGTCCCGTCGGCTTCTTCCCTGCTGTCCGCTCGCACTGGGAACACGGCGTTCCCCAGGGCGGGAGCACTGCGGTCCTGTGCTCCGCACTCCTGTCACAGCTTTGTTTCTCCAGATGGCCCAACCGAAGCCAGCGCCGCTCCCGCTGCTTCCTCTGCCCTGAGGAAATGGAGATGATGACACTACGCCTCTGTAAGCTCCCTGGAGACCGGTGTCTGGGAAGCAGGTTTCCAGGTTGCAGGAATGGCTCCCAGCAAAGGAAGAAACCTCAGTTTGCAGGGCACGAGTTGGACATGCTTCCTGAAAAGCAGCAGAGCAGAGAGCAATGAACCTTTTATCTTAGTCCACCAAAACACTGCAAACAAGGACAGCTGTGAGTGCTGGTCCCTAGACTACACAAGATCATAGAACCATAGAATAGTTTTGGTTGGAAGGGACCTTAAAGGCCATCTAGTTCCAACGCCTCTGCCATAGTCAGGGACACCTTTCACTACACCCAGTTGCTCAGAACCCCATCCAGCCTGGCCTTGAACACCTTCAGGAACCAGGCATCCACAGCTTCTCTGGGCAACCTGTTCCAGTGCCTCACCACCTTCACAACAAAGAACTTCCTTCTAATACCTAATCTAAACCTACGTTCTTTTAGTTTGAATCCATTCCCCCTTGTCCAGCCACTCACTACACGCTCTTGTAAAAAGTCCATCTCCATCTTCCTTGTTGGGTTCCTTCAGGTCATCTGTTTAATATATATATACATAAATACACATATATATATGTGTGTGTGTGTGTGTGTGTGTGTGTGTGTATAATTCTCTGCTATACTAAATTATATTTCTGTAGGGGTCTTTTTTTTCTTTTTTTTCTTTTCTTTTTTTTTTTTCTTTTTTTCCTTCTTATTCTGTGTTGTACATGACACTTTATTTTTTTCTGGTATCAAAATATTTTGAACAACATGTAAGTTACAGATACACTATATACTGAACTCTTATCATTTTCAATCATATGGTGGCCTGGACATAATAACTGGTTCAAAGCATATTTTGGAATATTTACACATGCTGCAGAATATGGTTCAGTCTTAACAAGTGTGCCAGTTCTCTCAAGCTTCTTTTCAGTCTTTCTGAGCACACCTACTTGGGACCAACTTTTGCTTTTTCTGCATTTGTTTACAACTGTACAAAGTGAGTGCCACAAAACCAGTGTGACAGCATTGTATGCCTGCCTTGGATTCCCTTTGCACCAATCTCATTGATTGCAAAACCAAAGAATATTGGACTCACATTAGCCAGCAACCTAGCTGTGGGAAAGGGAAGTGAATCAAAATAATGAAAATGCACCTCATGCATTTTGAGAACTATTTACATTCTGAAAATCAATCTTAAATGTTTCCTATGAAGCCAGGCTGAGCGAGCAGGGGCTGTTCAGCCTGGAGAAGAGAAGTGTCTGGGGATACCTTATAGCACCTTCCAGGATCTGAAGGGAGCTGACCAGAGAGCTGGGGAGGGACTTTGTACAAGTGCATGTAGTGAAAGGACAAGGCATAATGGCTTCAAACTGAAAAGGGGCAGGTTTAAATTAGATATTAGGAAGAAATTGTTTACTATGAAGGTGGTGAGCCACTGGAACCCATTACCCAGAGAAAGTGTGGATACTCCATCCCTGGAAGTGTTCAAGGCCAGACTGGATGGGGCTCCGAGCAACCTGGTCTTAGTGGAAGGTGTTCCTGCCCATGGCAGGGGTGCTGAAACTAGATGATCTTCAAGGTCCCTTTCAAGCTAAGCCATTTTATGATTCTATGATTTCTTCATTAAGCTTTTAATTTCTTCAATATTATTCTTCTTTGCTTAAGAATATTTTTTCCCTTTATTACAAGCTATTACTAACTTGGCTCAGTATAAGCTGGAGGAATGTCTGAAATATGGTCAACTGTATTGTATGTCCTTTCTGTGCAAAGCATTTATAAGGGTTGTTCTACACACAGTTTTCCATCAACTCCCAGCCTTATGAATTCTTTCTGTTGAAACCATTATCATGGAATAAAAATTTATTGTCCCAATTTAGCTTACTGTATTTTGAATGTGTCTTTATAACCATACAAACTTGGTGTTATTCTGGTAAAGTAATAACACTGATATATTTTTCCTGAACTAACTTGCATTATGAAGAATAATGAATATATGAATAAGCTGTTATAATAAATTCTTAATCTTGAGTATATTAGAAAAAAACCATTATTTTTCTTTATTTAGTTTCACTGTTTTTGCTAGGGTTAATATAGAATGGGGTTGGTATTTTTAAGTTTTTCAGTAGTTTTCAGGCAAATCACAGATCACCTCCTGCTACAAAATTAGTATAAATTTCAGTTTGCAACATATCAATGTGATTATTCTACTCACTGTAATTTTATTTACATGTTATTATTCAAAAGTAACCTGGAAACCCTTGGTGTGCCTGATGCTAATTATTTTGCATTGGATGGAAAATTTCCACTGGAAATAAGAAGAAAGAACTGTATAGCTGTGAATGAGCTTTGATCAGCAATTGAAAAATGAAGATACCCACATTTCCAAATTTTTGATCTTTTTTCCCCCATTGCCTTGACAGGTAACAGTTTACACTTCCTTCATCCTGCCCCCCTCTACCATGCACCCCTTGAATGTGCAATTCATCATATTTTTTTCCATCTTCAGGTTAAATCTGTGGGTTATGGGTAACTATAGGAGGAGTGTACTGTTTAGCCAAGCCCCTTCTGCTCTATAAGGTATAGGAAACTCTGGCTCCTTTAAGAAATTACAGATGAATCATACATGCATTGACACATGTTCGCATATTAATGGTCACGTCCTATATCGGTCTACAGAGATCAGCATCTCTGTGAAGAAGATCCATAAATTATTTCACTTATTTTCTTAAGTTGAGTGATGCCAAGCACACTTTCTCTGTCAGTTGAGAAAAAGCAAGTCCTGGCTTTTTGACCTTTTTTTTAAACCTTTTTTAAAATGTCATGATGAGTGACAGATACCTTCCATGTATCTCAGCACATTGTCTGCATCATGCTCATTTTGATCCTATGCATGTCAACAAGGGCAAAGCATCACAGCACAAAGATTTGATTTAAGACCAAGAGAATCTATTATATTGTTTTGGTTTGGTTTGGGTTTTTTGTTTTGTTGTTATTTGTTCTGTTTTGTTTTGTTTTGTTTTGTTTAACACAAGCAGAGTTAGAGAAGCAGAACTTGCATGCGATTATTCTCATCTTGCAGCCTAACACCACCATTGCTGGAAGGAGGCCACAGGCTTATGACTAATATAATTATATATAACATAATAACATAAGGTGTAGAGAAATACAGGCCTGGTATGACAGCAGGGTCCCCTGAGAGTTGGCTCACAGGAGGCATAGGATGATAAAAAAAGGGGGACAGCCTTGGCAGTGGAGAACTTAGGGCTATAAAGAGCTCTCCAGTAGTCAGCTAAAGCAGTGCAGACTTGAGAATTGGACAAATATAGCTTAGGGATTACACAAAGAAAAAGTATGTAACATACATAAGTGGCATCACAGATAATACAACTGGATTAAAGTGGAGCTGTAGACAAATGAAGAAAGAGTAAGGTGTAAAGGGATTTTAAAACTCAAATAAAGTAGCCCCATGTTAGTTCTTTGATTTTCTCAACAAAGGACTTACTGGGAACACATGGATGACCAGCCACAGCACCAAAACCCACTGCTTGACAAAGGCTGGCAGTGTTGACTCTAAAGAGGCAGTGGGAGGGTAAGCACAACATCAAAAAAAGGACAGACATGAAGAGTGTGTCTACAAAAAAATGAACTGCATTATTATTCCTATTTTTCTTTTGTTTAAGTAGTAGTAGCATTCTTTAATTTCTTCTTTCTTCTTTTCTGTATTAATTAGCTCTCACCTAATAGTTCTTTGATTAGTCTGAGAAAGGTGTGCTCCCTTTTTTTTTCCCCCCAGAACCAAACTCTGTGTATAACATTAGTGAATTGGAACAGAGAATGCATCTTTTGGAAATCTGGGCTTAACAATCTTTCCAAGGTCCCAGACGGTATCTGGCACAGTCAGAAATAGCACAAAGATATCCTGTCCCCCAGTCTGGCACATTAACTACAGGACCATCCTTCCTGCCTTTGCTTTATTTATTACATTGAAATAATTATTTTGCATACTGAGCTCTTTGAAAGTACATTGCTATAAATACTAGAAAAGTCATCACATTGTAATTTGAAAAATACCAACTCCTTTTTTTTTTTTTTTGGTACATCATTCAAACCATGGAGCCATTATGACAGACCCCAGGGAATAATACTGCCCTGACTCACGGCCTGATAATACACAATTTAGTGCACATCAGCGCTATGACAAAGACAGGCATTGCATTACACAATGACAAAGGTGAGTCCTGCACAGCAGAACAATTGGTTTCTTTTCTCAAAGCTCAGGGCTTACCTGCAGCTTGTCAGCTGTTACTAATGAATGTGAGCTTTCAGAAACACAACCAACATGAGTTCTGGACTGCACACTTAAGTTTTCCTGTGGGCCCCACTCTTAAGCCTGCTGAGCAGGACCCAGGTTCTTTCTCAGGTACCAAGATTATCCTGCATGCTTGGTTTCCTTAGACATTTTTGCAGTCCACCTTCTCCCCTCAGCTTCCCGTTAGACTGCAGTGTACGATTATATCAGCTTGTGACTTGAGACAGACGTTGCAGGCAGGCCCTCTGAGACTCTCAGTCTATGCAGGGGCAAAGATGTGTTTTCTTTCTTCCATGCCATTACGATTTAGAGAAATGCCTGGTCATTAATGCCGAGGGAGCTTCCTTCCACAGGGATACATCTCAGGCTTGTCAAGATAAGTGTGGGTTGGGTAATTAAATCTCTTCAAAGTAGTTAAGTTTACGAGTGAGTAGCCCTGTGTAAATGCAAGGCAGATGGTGTGCTATCTAGAGCACTCTTCGAGAACACTGAGTGTGCAGAGGTGAAAGCAAGTGCAGTGCATGTGAAGGAATGAGTGCACTTAGCTGCTATGGGCTCACAGGCTGACAGGGCTGACAGCTTTTAGTGTCCTGTAAATGCAGTGCACCTCATGGCTAATTTCTGATTGAAACAGTAAATATGAAACCAGGAGTTGCCATTCTTTTTTGGTCCTTTTTTTGGAGCATTCTTTGGTTTTGATCTGGCAGCTTGAACCCAAAGTGAACTTCACTTTAATTTGTCTACTAGCTAAGAACATATGTGAACTGATATTCTGTTATCCAGGCAATTCCTACTGGTGCAAACACACTGACTGTAACAGAAAATAATTCATGGAGAAGAGAAAGAGTAAGCTGATGGAGAAAATTATGTTCATGATAATAACCATGTCATGGACTTTAAACTGGAAAGGCATGCAGAACATCAGCATTCAGCATTGCCCTTACTGGATGGTTTCATTCACAACAGCTCTTGTGCCAGCCTTCTTCCAAAGTGAAAAAATCCACAAGTAGTTTCTCATAGGTAAGAAGTGTCTGTCTGCAGCAGTCCAGCCCCAAAGCAAATATCTCCAGGTGGGCTATGATGCACTCAAAGCAGTCAGTGTAAAATGCCACATTTCTAGACTACTTCGTATTTATGAAGCACAAAGTGACCTGACAACAAGAATTCTATTTGCAACATTGTGTGAAGTTGTAGCTGGAAAGTATCAGTTTCCACATTATGGAAAGTATCAGTTTCCATATTAGGTCTATGAGGACATCAAAGTACAGTGAGATTCAGTGGTTTAGAATTATTTATGACCTTAGAAATACCACCCACATTCCCATTCCCTATCGTGTATGCTAGCCAAATCTGTATGGTAGATTGGTTTAGATACAGATTCAGGGCCATTTTTCACATCTTCAAGGTACCGAGAATCATTTCTTGTGCAGTAGGTCTTCCCAAAACTCAGTATATTCTTCTCATGGAAACTTCTGCCTCATTTAAACCATCCTACCTTGAAGCTCACTTGATAGAGAAGGTAACACCTTAACACATGGCAATCACTGCTAGCTATGCCTGATTAAGACCAACATCTGCAACGATTGAGAGGCATCTTTTTAGTTATTTTTTTCCCTATTCAATTATATTTCCTCTTTGCCCATCCTTGGTAGGTAAATTCTAATGGTTGCAAATGTTTTGCAGAGAAAGCTGACACGCTGTAAGAGTTAAGTGCTATATTGATTAATATTTCCTCTATTTCTTTTTTTTTTTACTTTTGATTTACCAGACATTTTGAGGAGGAACGATATCTTTTGTGATGAGCCTGGCGGCATGCCACAGCGATGAAAGATGCCCTTGTAACTGGAACAAAGAACGCCGGCTAAGAATCCTGATCCCAGCGGGGGCTTCGCTGGGATCCTTTATGCGTCTAGTAAAATCCTAGTTCCAGACAGACACCTCAAAGGGAACCCACAAACCCCAGGGCCCTGAGTTTAGCGTGCCGTACGCCATGGCTCACACTGGGCGCACGGAGGCTCCCCGGGAGGGCACCCCCGGCCCGGCGGGGAGCGGGGAGCGGGGCCCGGCCCGGGCCCAGCGCCTCGCCCGCCCCCGCAGCCCGGGCGCGGCGGTGCCGGCGGCCGCAGCGCGGCGTCTGCGTGCGGGGGGGCCCATGGCCAGCCCGCCAAGGCCGGACACACCATGCCGAACAGGGCCGGCCTGGACACCGCGCTGAAGATGTCCCTGCGGCGGAAATCTTCCAAGATCCACTCCTCGGCCGGTGAGGAACGAGCGAGGCGAGGCGGGCGGGAGCGGCGCGGGCAGGAGGCGCCGCGCCGGAGGATGGGAGGCGCGCCGGGGAAAGGAAGGCAGCCGGCGCCTCCATGGCGCGGCCGCCCGGCCCCGCCGCCGCCGCCCCCTCGCCGGGGCCTTTGGGAATCCCGCAGTGCCGCCCCCGCCCTCGGGGTCTCCGCTCGGGATGGAGGTGCTCGCAGGCCAGCGCTGCCCGCCCGCCGCCCCCGCCCCAAGGGCACCGCGCACCCGGCCCCCGCCTCCAGACCCCGGCCCGGCACTGCACCCCGCGGGGCCACCCGAGCCACTGCATCACCTTCCATCGGCCTGTCCGTCCGTCCATCCATCCATCCATCCATCCATCCATCCATCCGTCCATCCATCCATCCATCCATCCGTCCATCCATCTATCCATCCATCCCTCCCATCGGGACCCCCAGGGCCCTCCTGGCACCCACACCCCACGGGGGAACAGCCCGGAGGGGGCAATGTGCCGTCCTTCTTTCTCTTGGTTCTGATAGTTTTTGACAGGGAAATTTCTGGGTGGGCATCTGCTCAGAGGGCAGTATGGCTGGTGGAGGGGAGGCAGGGGTGCCCCATATCCCCACCAGGCTGGTCAGGGACCTCTGTCCTGTGCTCTGGAGTGGGGAGAGCATCAGGCACTGCAGTGAGCCTGCAGAGAGATAAATGATAAGGTTTCTCAAGAGGTTCATGTAGGAAAATGTTTTTCAACTAGCTCATAAGAAAACAGACAGAAATGGAATACTTTGAAGATAGAATTCTGGTCCCGAAGGACTTTGACTTACTTCTGTAGGACTAAGGTGCATTCAGAATTTAGTTGTGGTACGTTGTACTTAGGGGTAGATGAAGTATTGGTGACCTTGTCAGTGACTTACAGACACCAGTTTCCCTGCAAAATATTTAGGTACTTAGTGCAACCTCTGCGGTGAGTAAGGGTGCAGTATAATGCTGCTTTAGCATTTTTTGTTTCAATAAGGAATGTGCTTTTGAAGCACATTTCCTGATCAGCTCTACTTTGGGTTAAATCTCAGAGCACCTTGGAGAGCATTTGCTGGATGGCTTTTGGATGACGCTGTACTTGAAGATGTCCTCCAGCCACTTGTGACTATTCAGCTCATGGAAGCAGGCTAGAGCTAGCTTGAAGGAGAAGCCACCTCCCCTTTGGCTCCTCTGCACAACCTGGTCACTCCAGTAATATTTCCCAGTTTGGCCTCACTGCTTGGTAATAAGGACAGAACTTCAAGGACTTTTCCATAGCTGCTGAAGTAAGTGGGATGCTAAGGAAAGAGGTGTGTAATCACAGCTCATAGGAAATGGTAAGGTTTCAGAGTAGGATTTAGCACATTACCAGCTTTACTTATCTTCAGCCTAAGCCATTCAGATGAAACAGTTGCAGTTAAGCAGATTCCACTTTCCAGTATTTGGGGTTGTGTCCACTTCTGCAGTCCAATCTGAAACCCCGTCCTGTTACAGGGAGGCTCCTTTCCCAGAACTGGAATTTGGCAGATCTGTTTGTGACCTCAAATTTGGAATCCAAACCGAGGTGCCCTTCAGATATTGGATGCTTGGCACTTGGAGAATGTTTAGCTGGAATGTGGGATACATAAGGAATTTAAGCTTTAACTTTCGTAAATCACAGAATCAGACTGACAGAATGGGCCAGGTTGGAAGGGACCACAGTTGGTCATCTGGTCCAACCTCCCGGCTCAAGCAGGGCCATCCTAGAGCACATGGCATAGGATTGTGTCCAGATGGTTCCTAAATACTTTCAGTGGGGGAGACTCCACAACCTCTCTGGGCAATTTGTTCCAGAGCTTGGTCACCTGCAATCCACCACTGTACTTGTGGATCTAGGTGGTTAAGCTGTGCCTCAGTTATGCTCTAGGTGCTTCAGGCACCTAGATCTTCTGTCTGGGATTTATCTGTACACAGCTTCTGACTTTTACATGTTCTCTTCATTTCACATAAGTAGAATCCAAATTAGATCATACTTTGAAGAAAGATGGGGTTGCTGTTTAGCATTATGATCACTGCTTCCTAGCTATTGAACAGCATATTTCCTATCTAGAGTATTTCTAAGGATGGCAAGAGTAATATTTACTATAGGTATATATAACACTTAAAAAATTACATAGTAGAGGTTTGTGTGACTTACTACATAGAATTATTAAAGGATATGATTGTAGTTGTTTTAGGACACTGAACAAACTGATGGCTTAGGAAAATAGAGCCAATCTCTCTGCCACTCAGAGAGAAAGTCCTGCCTTCCCCCTTCCTGTTTATTCCCATTGGCTTGCTTCTGTCAACATTGGACCTCAGATGGTTACATGGTCACCTGGATCAGTGCTGATGTGGCTCACTATCGGCCTGTATGTTCTGAATGCCAACAGGGAACAGAAAAGCAGGAACTCCGTTCGCTAAAAGCATATGTAAAAGCATACATTTGGAGAGGAGCCCCTGGTGGTCTAGTGGTAAAGGCGCGGCGCTATCACCGCGGAGACCCGGGTTCGATTCCCGGTCAGGGCCACTCCCGGGCAGGTGGGGCTCGTTAGCCCTTAAAGGCAACCCACCTATGTCCTAAGGACCTCGCTGCCACCGTCCAAGCTCGCTTGGCCCCGGCAGATGAACCTTAGGATTAAAGGGTGGGCCAGTTCCGCGCACACTGTGTCTCACCTAAAAAATCCAATGCACAGGCTGGAAGGTGTAAAGACCTTCCCCGGATCTTCGCTTGCGAAGACTGGCCATTATTATATTTATTACATTTGGAGACTGAACCACTGAAAAGCAGTACAGATGTGGTTGTGTGGTGGCATTGCAAAGACCTTTATGAGCTGAATGGTGTGGAGGGTGAACTGGTCACCTTTTGTGATCCTTAGTTAGGATCAGGTAACCATAGCTCTATCCACCGGGATTTTCTTGGCACGTATGTATCAGAACGTTCTACCTTCTTTCCTTTTTAGAAGAGAAGATCTTCCCTGCTTTAAAGACTTGTAGTTTGTTTGCTAGTTCAGTTTACTTTTAAGGGAGTTTTGGTAATCTTAAAGTATTAGGTTTTAGTTTGGGTCACTGAGATTTATTTTCATACTGTGTAAAGTAGTTTAGTAGCTTATACACATTTTTCTTTAGTCAAGAAGAACACTACCTCTGTGTCTAATGTCTTTTCATCTCAAATTTTCTGCACTCATACAGTATAAAATGTAACTGGTATATTTGGTAAAGTTTTAAACCTGCTTAACACTGGTACGATGCAATTTCCAGAAAAGCCAGATGATGTGAAAAGGAGAATTTAGACATGGAAAGTCACCTCCTGCCACTCAAATGATCAGTCCTGTTCTTTTTTATGCATTTTCTCATTAATTGATTTTTTTTCCTTTGTACAGGTAAACCTTTTTATTGCTGTAATGTTGTACCAGCTGAGCTAAATTGATTAGATTTAAATTATTCTCAAAGAAGTCTCCAACTCCTTACTGTTGGAACCACAGACTTCAAAGACTAACTTGTTCTTCTCCTTCCTGCCTCCTTAAAATCACTAAAAATAAGCAACTGTCAATAAGACATTGGATGACTATACAATGGTATTTTTATTTTTAGGGGAAAAATCGAATTCCAACTTTATAATGGATTAAAGGTACAAATGATCTTGATGTTATTTACTGTGGTCTTTTTTCAACTGCTGAGTGATACACATCAGCAAGAAGAAATATTTTTAGTGTAAAGGCAGTAACAGAATCTTCTGTCAGCTTATGAGGATCTGAAATATAAACATCGTTACATGATATGAAACAATGTTGCTTTTGTACGTATGCCATCTACATTTCCTGTGAAATACTTGCTTATAGTTTATGCTGTGGTTTTGGTCTTAAGAACACAGTGACTATCTCTTAGAATCACTTCTTTCTAAAGGATCCATCTCTTTCTTTGGTCAGAAGAATGTCTATGAAAGAACTTCTTTGGGCTATTTTTGCGCTGTGATATCATTACCATGATTGCTACTGTTGGGAAGTGTCATACAGAGCAGTTATAACACCACACAGGTCATGTATTTTGCTCAAAGCTTTTATCTTTGAGGCTCCTCAGAGAAGTGGTTGGGTCACCATCCCTGGAAGTGTTCAAAAAACAAGTAGATGGGGCACTTTGCGATATGGTTTAGTGGTGGTATTCGGTCAAAGGTTGGGTTGATGATCTTGGAGGTCTTTTTCAACTTTAATGATTCCATGATTATTTGATTCCATCTGTAGCCATTTACAGCCATTACAGGTTAGACATAATTCCTATAGATATATATGTAAAACGCACTGGAGCTACAGGTGAAATACTTAATCAGCTTTACATTAATTACGTACGGCTGTTGATGCTTCAAATAAGGTGCAATTTGGTATTGTTGAGGACAGGTTCAGATGGTGTACGAAACACAGTGAAGGCTCGAAGCTTTCACCTTGAAGCTCATTCAAGTCATCTTTACTCACAGGATATCTACATCCTATTTTGCAGGAGGATCAGCAGTTGTCCTTAATGCATTTTTGAACAAACAATCCCTATGGAGGGGGTCAGCAGAGTGCTCAGCTAAAAAATTCCTAAAATACTAACATATAAATTTTTTAACTAAGAACAAAAGCCCTATTCTGCATGAGAAATGTACCTGGCAGGAGTAGTGACAGTAGACACTGAACAGAGGGGTGTACTTCCTCAGCAAGTGCTTTCACTGCCCATGAACATTATCAAGAGTTATTGAAACATTTAGCAAGACAATTGCAACCATAGCATTGGCACCCAGAAATTCCACCCTAAGAATGTGATAAGAAACTTTTCCAGGTGAAGACTAAACTTCTACTTGTTTCATGTCAGAAGTTACTACTAAATAGACTACTTTAGTGCATGTTTGTTTATGCAC